TGAGCTGCTAGATCAACTTCAACAGCAAGAGGCCACACCTGAGGAAATTGCTTCGGAGGAGGGAAGAGAAATTGAAGAAGTTGCCTACTTCAAAGATTAAGGAAATCTGTGCAAAGTGGCTTGAAGTGCAAACCTTCATGGATGAAAAATCACCCTCAGACAGCTATTACACTGACTATTACACTGACACTGTTGTGAAACGCTTTACGAAAGTCATAAAGGAACGAGAGGTACAGGCCACTATGGACAGATATGTTGTGCGACAGAAGTCCAGTGACTCTGATGCTGGTCCTAGTGGCATTAAAAGAAGAAGGGAAGCAACTCCAGAAAAGGACTTGACACCTCAAGTCCTAATGGAAGGGGATTCCCCTTCTAAACACTAAAACCATCCAGTCTCCCCTCCTCCCATCCCATCAATCATCACCACATCTTCAATAAAGGTAAGTGTCATGTAACTGTGCATGTTTTCTTAAGTTTGTGTGTATTAAAATTAATATTTCATGTGGTAAATTTTTTTTTTCCATACTTTTGGGTGTCTTGCACGGATTAATTTGATTTCCATTATTTCTTATGGGGAAAATTAATTCGCATAACGATAATTTCGCATAACATCGAGCTCTCAGGAACGGATTAATAGCATTATGCGGGGGTCCACTGTATTCTTTACCAATTTCCATTGCCTCAAATGCTCTATTAAAGAAGTCTAAGTTTGTCAGGCAGGAATGACCTCTTGTGAATCCATGATGACACTATCAAACCATGCTCATTAAGATGGCTTTGATAACTGATTCTAATAATATGCCTACCATTGATGTCAGGTTTATTGAATGTTAATTTGATGGAATCTACTTAATCCCCCAATTTTAATATAGGAATTATACAAGCCATTTTCTACAACTCCAGCATACCAGTTTGAACTGATGCATTAAACAGGACTGTTAGCAGCAGACTTGAACTCTTACTATCCCTGAAAACAGATGGTCAGGGCCCAGGGACTTGTTTTAGTTTGTCTACTTGTTTGATAACCATGTCCTTTGTGACAGTAATATCACTTATATTTGCTATTTTTTCTTATGAAATGGTGTAGAATCTTCTTCTGAAGGCAAAGCCTGGAGAGTATACCCGGAGAGGGTTTCGGAGATCAATGCTTCAACAGCCCGGTCTGTAACCAGGCCTAAAAGGTACGAAATTTGATGGAAAACTGATGAATTTTTTTTTTAAGCGATATTTAAGCATTGGCGATTTTGCCCACTTTGATGCCTATTTTAGGCCAGTTATATTATTCCAGTTGACCAAATTCTTAGCCATTTTGCTAGTTAAACAATGATCTGATATATCAGTTGTCCCTCTATAAACATATACATCCTGAAGCCTACCCATCAACCTCTTATCCACAAATACATAATCGAACAAACTACTTTCATAACATGCTATATCATACCTTGTATACTTATTTATCCCCTTTTTCATAAAATATGTATTACTTATTACCAAACCTCTTTCTACACATAGCTCAATTAATGGCTCCCCATTTTCATTTACTCCTGGCACCTTAAATTTACCTACTACTCCTCCACAACATTTTTACCCACATTACCACTGAAATCCCCAACCACAAGTACTCTCACACTTGGTTCAAAATTCCCCATGCACTCACTCAACATTTCCCAAAATCTCTCTCTCCCCTACACCCCTCTCTTCTCCAGGTGCATAAATGCTTACTATAACCCACTTTTCACATCCAACCCTTATTTTACTCCACATAATCCTTGAATTTATACATTTATATTCCCTTTTTTCCTGCCATAACTTATCCTTCAACATTACTGCTACTCCTTTAGCTCTAACTATTTGAAACCCCTGACCTAATCCCATTTATGTCCCCCCCACTGAAACTCTTCCACCCCCTTCAGCTTTGTTTCACTTAAAGCCAGGACAACCAGCTTCTTCACATTCATAACATCCACAATCATCTCTTTCTTATCATTCGCACAATATCCACGCACATTCAAACATCCCATTTTGACAGTTTTATTTTTATTTTTAGTAGGCTATACAGGAAAAGGGGTTATTAGACCATTGTTCCAGGCATTTTAGTTGACTTTTACAACACGCATGGCTTATGGAGGAAAGATTCTTATTCCACTTCCCCATGAATATAAAAGGAAAAAGCAATAAGAACAAGAACTATTAAGATAAAATCAAAGAAAACTCAGATGAGTGTGTTTACATACATGTGTACATGTTTGTGTAGTGTGACTTAAGTAGAAGTACCAAGACATACCTGAAGTCCTGCATGTTTATGAGACAAAAAAACACACCATCAATCCTACCATCATGCAAAACAATTACAGGCTTTTGTTTTACACTCGCTTGGCAGGACTGTAGTACCTCCTTGGGTGGTTGCTGTCTACCGACCTACAACAGATATGTTCACAAATGTAGTCATAATATTTATACAATTATTGCAATATTGCATAATAGTAAATCTATTTTTTGGTGTGAATAAAAATTCATGTAAATAAAAAATAAAAATGTAATTCATCTGTAAAGCCTGGAAACATAACTAATAAACAGAGGAAATGTTATTTTAGTACCAGGAACGCCTACATTGTTTATTCTGGACCCTATTTTGAAACTCAACTATTTAGAATTGTGTGAAATTGGTCAAATTACCAATTTCCAATCACTTTAATGGGTAGTTGAAAACAGCTAAGAATTTGGTTTAATGTAATAATGTAATTGGCCGAAAATAGGAATCAAAGTGGGGAAAATTGCTGATGCGTAGATATTGCTGGCACAGCAAAATTCACGAGCGCAATTTTGTCAATTTTTGATCAAATTTTGTACGTTTTGTTTTATTACCTTCAGAAAAAGATTCTCTACCATTTCATAAGAAAAAATAATTATTTGTTTTAAATTCTTGGACACTGTGGGGAATTTTCAAAGTGGGGGCCTGGACCCTCAAAGGGTTTAACCAAAAACACTCCCAGTTTTTCTCATTCTGCACTGCATGCTGCAGAATTTTTTATATGATGCACACTTACCACAGACCCATTCTCTCATATCTAGGCTCAAATTTACCATTCACAGCTTATCTGAGCGAGCTGAGCTCATCACATAGTACTACGGCATGGACCCTGGCTTTAAAGCCGTAGAACAACAGCACGGACCCTGAAAGGGTTAATTTCATGATCGCCTTTAGCTTTACTAATCCCTTTCTTTACCTCTTAACATGAATGTATTGGTCAATAGGGTTATCTTCTTCCCTTTTGATGCACTTATAAATTCCTTACTCTTCTCTTCTAATAAGTTTATAAGTGGAAGACAGGCATAAACAAAGGCAATATAAATATAGTACTGAGGATATTGAATCAAGAACTAGAAATAGTGAATTTAAATGAGATGTATTTAGACTTTGAAAGGACATAGGAGAGTACTGGTTTTCAAACAGTTGTCAATGAGTGGAACAATCTGCTAAGTATGGTCACAGAAGCTAAAACCATAGGTAGTTTTAAAAAGAGATTAGACAAATAAGAGTGGGAAGAGCTGGGGTTCATTAGTTCCTGAAGTACTGAAGGAAATTCTTGGATGGCTTTGGGAAAAGGTTGGACAATTAGGTGGGTTTTGGGAAAGACCTGCCTAGTATGGGCCAGTAGGTCTCTTGCAGTGTTCCTCAATTTTTATGCATACAATTCCGACAAACCTAGGTAGACAGCAATCACCTAGGGAGGTACTACTGTCCTGCCAAGTGAGTAAAACAAAAGCCTGTAAATGTTTTACATGGTACGATTTTGCTGGTGTTTTTTTTCTGTCTCAAACATGCAAGATTTCAGGTACATCTTTCAACTCCTACTTAAACTTAGGTCACACTACACATGCATGTACAAGCATATATATACACATCTCTCTAGGTTTTCTTCTATTTTCTTACTAGTTCTTGTTTATTTCCTCTCATCTCCATGGGAAAGTGGAACAGAATTCCTCTGTAAACCATGCGTATCATAAGAGGTGACTAAAATGCCAGGAGCAAGGAGCTAGTAACCCCTTCTCCTGTGTACATTACTCAAGTTTAAAAGAGAAACTTTTCTTTTTTCTTTTTGGGCCACCTGCTTTGGTGAGATACAGCCAGTTTGTTGAAAGAAGAATACCGACATGATGATGAATAAGACACATGCAACACCTGGGTACCTATAATGAAACCTTCACCAGCCAGTGGCATTATCAATTCAACATGGAGGTTATTTGAAGGCGTTGAAACGGAAGACAACAGAAGATAAGGAATTCAGTTCTTCTGCCTAGATGGTGTTCACCAATGTATTCTTGACGAATCTGAAGCATAGGCAAGAAGATGGTCGCTTACAAAAGTCAAATGAGGTGCGGCTGTAGAAGATGACATCACTGTGGGTGAACCAGATAGCGGAAGTAGGTCATGCCCAAGCATTAGGACAGAGGTTAGCAAAAAGATGAACACCATCTAGGCTGAAAGACTGGCTACCTCATCATCTACTGTCTCTAGTTTCAATGCCTTCAGATAATCTCTGTATTGAACTGATAAAGCCATTGGTTGGTGAAGTAAACAAGCCAATTTGCTCTAACCTCTGAGGCCTGAAAATATACCCACCATTCCCCAGACTAATGTCTGGCGTTCATCAAAAATCATTAAATGAGAGAGAGGAATTATACTCCCCTATTTTATGGCTGGCAATATATAGTAATTTTTTTTTTTTCAACAAGTTGGCCGTCTCCCACAGAGGCAGGGTGACCCAAAAAAGAAAGAAAATCCCCAAAAAGAAAAATACTTTCATCATCATTCAACACTTTCACCACACTCACACATTATCACTGCTTTTGCAGAGGTGCTCAGAATACAACAGTTTAGAAGCATATACGTATAAAGATACACAACATATCTCTCCAAACTGCAAATAATTATAGTATTTATTATATATAAAGAAATAATACAATAGACATATATTAACGAGTGTTTAAACACTCACACTGCTTCTTCAGTAGAGCCTGCGTTTTTCTTTTCAGCCTTTCCTGGGGAGTTAATTTGGGACCATCCTGAAAAAATGAATAAATTTAGATACAGCTTTTCCCAGGCTATGAGTGCTGTAATTTAGAAAATAAAGAAGTATCTGCCAGGTTACTGGGTAGTTTTCAGTGTAAGTTCAATTGTTACCTTAACGAGCTTTGCAGGACTATGTCCTATTAATGCACTGAATATGGGAATGGTATGCTGCATCACCCATACCCCTCAAGAAGGATGCTTTGATGCAAGAGAAGGCCTCTCAATCCAAGGTATTTGACATACCCTCCCTTTCACATAACACCTGATTTCTTGTTATTCAATATACGCTGTAAAACCCCAATGAGTTACAAGCATTCCCTTGCTTATATTATTGTACCAACCATGAGTGAAAATATTTACAAATTAGAAGTAACAAATATTTATGTATCTATAGTTAAATAAAATCGAATAAACAGAAGAATGTAAGGGGACTTGAACCCATGGACCTGAATGGTGGCAGGTCCAGTGCTCTATCACTGGGCTACGATGTCTTCAATAGGAAAGCTTCAGACAGAATTGCTGTCATGTCTGTGTCAGTGGCCACCATGTATGACCCAACTCCAACTGTCCCTTCCCAGAGCCCCAGTAACTTTTATAGCAGATCCATTCTCATACCCATCAAAGCCATATAGTCTATGAATTCAAAATAATATGTAAGGCTGGAAAATCAGAAGTCGAAGAAATAAAATGTAAACAAAAAGTAGATTAAGATGTTTTAAGATAAAACTATCGCAGTGCCAATGGATGCTGGGACAAGCTCTTGCTTCTCTCTAGTAATACCTCTATAGCTTAAGGACCAGCATGGCTAGTCTCAAATTTTACTACTATTTATAAGTACTACTTTATATGCCAGGACTGATCTTATACATTCCATATGCTTTGTTATTTTGTTTTACAATGTAATTACTCAATTATATTTTCACCATACACTATCAGCAGATATAAATTCCCCAATGCCAAACCTAATTAACATACACAGTAGAGTGCAGTGAAAATGAAGTGTAATATAGAGTACAACGGCCTCACTAACCAACTCCCTTTCATATAATATGGCATTGTGAAAAATTTCAATTTCAATAGTAAATAACTTTTAAGTTTGGCAAATACTTAAAACTAAAAATCTTCTAACTCTAGCATAATGAAAAAAAAATAAAAAAATAAAAAAATAAATGAAAATAAATTATATGTGGTTGTTTAAAAAAAAAACTTACTCTGAAATCTCCCTGAAAGACCAAAATATTAAACTCATGCTAACATTATTTTCTACTGAACTGTATTTAATTCAACACAAGAAATTAGGAATGATGAGGTAATTATGAAATTCTCATGAGGGCTGACACAAAATAGCTATAATTATGAAGATTTATCAAACCAAGAAACAAAATCAAATTAAAAATTAATGTGTTGCATTAAAGTCAGAAAAGTGACTATTACATAACATGTACAACAATAACAGGTTCTTACTGACTTTGGCGGCAGAGGACCCATTACCCACTGATGTTGGGGGCACCCTGAAATAAAGAAGCAAAATATAAAACAGTGAAAGAAATTTTAGTATTTAACTTACAACACCCACACCCACTTATACACTCACTCTTGTAGCTCAATAGATTAGATACAGCACAAGATTTTGTCTATCTGTAACCAAATTATCAATTAGCATATTTTTGCTTAAATATTTTATCAGCATTCCTTTAATGGGTCTGTCTAATGTTCTGGCAACATTAGTTAAGAGGGTCTTTCCTACCACCTTCCCTAAAGGTACTAGTTCTGACCTGTCTGGGTTAGCACAACACTGCCAATTTACCTTTATGTAGAGGGTCTCTAAAATAATCCAAACAGAGCTTAGTTCCTCCACACATTCCTTCAATGAATAATGTTAAATCACTTCCAGTTCCACTGCTTTATTTTTACAATGTCTAACACTTACTTTCTTCACCTTGAGTTATTTCACTGGGTTCTGTCTCATTCAACTGTAGGCAAACTAAGTTCAAGCCATTAATTTTTTGTTATAAATGCAGTATATACACTAGTTTTTAACCCTTAAACTGTCCAAACGTAGATCTAAGTTTTTTCAACATTTGAATGTAAAAAAAAAAAAAAAAAAAAAGATTTTTTTTTTTTACATTTGAAAACGTATAAAAAAACTTTGATCTATATTTTTTTTTTGTTATATCCGAAAATATGTAAAAAACGTAGATCTACTTTTAGAGCACTACGCATGTGAACAGATCGGTATGGACAGTTTAAGGGCTAAATATCTTGCACCTTTCATTTTCTGAAGTAATGATTTTAATGTCACGCTGCTTTTAGTTTAACATATTTTCTAGCATATAATTTGCTATTTTATAAATAAAAAATAACTATTACTACGCACTTTTTTGCCTCTTCTATATGCTATAAAAACATGCAGTATATTTTTCTTTTAAATCTCTGGCAAGTTTAGACACTTTCTAAATAAAAAATTGTTCGTTTTCTGATTTTCCCCAGCCTATTCTTTGTTTTTTCTTAATCGGAATTAACAATGGGGACAATACCCCCAAAATCAAATATTTTGGAGAAAAAAAAAAATTTTTTTAGGAAACATTAAAAAAAATATTTTCTAAATGAAACAACCTTTGGTTCCTGAAACCCTTTTTTCTTTCATTCATGCTTATTATTAAAAATTTCTTTTTCATTAACCCTCTGAGAGTCAGTCTCGTTCAAACCCCCTTGTCCACAGGTGTCAGCAAGTTGCTAATCCTTGTTTTGTAAGCAAATTCGTATCATCCATGTGTTTTAGATAAGGAACCCCGGGCCTGTGACTGTTGGGGTGATGTCACGGGAGCGCATGTGTACTTCGTCCTCTGCCTCCTTCTCATCGGGTTTGAAATGGGCAGGACAGGCAGAAGGCTGGGCTCCATTTCCCTCATCACAGTTGACAAATTCGTTACCACCCAACAAGTGTGGTACCTTCAACCCTCGATATCTCCATTTAAAAAACCCCTACAAAAGGTGGCGCGGTGGGATTTAATTCGCGATTAGAGCGTTTTCTGAGATAAATTTCGACCGAGCCTGCATCTTGTGAGTAGGCCTCCAGAGGGTACGCTAAAACCTACCTCAAGCCGCTACTCCCCCAAGCTTTACCAGCCACTACTTTTTTCACTGGCCAGTTCTTTGAAATTAGCGTTTATCTGTTTATTTCATCACCCTGAGGGTTGACCCGAGTTTGCAAAATAACCCAGCTTCCAGTCTGGGGTGAGGGAGTCCAGTCCGCCTATCACCCCATCCAGTTCCTTTCCCTCCCAAAGCCAGTTTCCACCCCTGCTGTGCTATGGAAAAGTTATCAAGCTATTCGTGTGGGGGGTTTAAAGATAAGCCGCTAGCAACTAACCCAGGGTTTTCCCAGTACCAAAATCCACGGAGTTTCTTCTCGCTTGTACAAGCTAAAAGCCTTCTGAGGTGCTCTTTTTTTATCCTTGTGGTGTTGTGGTATTTGTGATGTTTTTTTTAAGAGCGGGCTTAAAATTATTTTCGTGGCAGTTGGGCGCCCTAGTGAGGCTTACCCGTTCAACCCATAGCCCATGCCCAGGTCTCACCACGGGGGTCTCGGTCTTAGCCCTGCTAACCCCACTAACTACCCGCGGCCTCAGCGCCCAGCCCGTTTTACCCAAAACCCAACCACTCTCACGGTGTTGTGGACTCACCCAACCCCTTACCAGTGTTTTGGGGCCCCTACTAAGGGTTTAGCACCAATTTTAAAGGGCCACATGGACAAGAGCTAGATGTCTTCGACAGGGCGCCCCCCTATTGAAAGCCTCCTTTGAGAAATCTACGTCGATGTAAGCGCAATTCTAAGATCACGTGTGAGAGGACAGCGGGGAAGACTACATAAACAATCCTCCAACCTTCCACCCTCAATCTTATTCTTCACCAATGTTACAGCGATAATATTTTTCATAGAGACATTTGCGAGTGTTGAGACATTTCTTTTTTATTTTAGTGATTTTCTTAGGGAATTCAGTGACTCTCTCAACTGGTGTTTGTTTCAAAATCTTTTTATCTCCTTAATTTAGTTTTTTTCGTGCATTATCTTATGTCTTTTTGTTGTGTGTCTTTTTATACACTTGAAGTAAACTTAGTGTTTTCCTTTGTTGGTACAAAAATGAGCATATAGAACTTGTGTTTACACTTCAGAATCACCTTTGTTCTCATATTTCCTGAATTAATTCAGTAATTTATTTAGTTAATTCTGCATCAAAAACTCATGTTGCTCAGTTTTTATATTTTCTTTTATCCCAGCATTTTTGTATTCTTTTTTTTTTTCCCTGTGTGTTGAACATTATTTTTTTGTGTTATATTCTTTCATTTTGCCCGTGTCAAATTTTTTTATTTTTTCCCCAACAATAGTGCCATTTTTTTTTGCCAGCAAAAATCATTTTTACAAAAGTTTTTTACACATCAAGTTTCTTGCAAGAAAATTCAGTACTGTTTTATGTTGATTGTTGTGTTGTTTCTGCATCACTTTAAGTGTTCAAACTTTTTTGTTGTGTTTTTAAAAACCCCCTTTATTTTTTTAGTTTCATTGAACAAAATTTACTCTTAGTGCAATTTTTAAATTCTTCCTTTTTGAGTAAATTGTTCTTTTTTCTTGTTAGTGTTTTTTTTAAGCTGCATTTAAGAGTTTTAAAGTGTTCATTCCTTGATATATTTCTTTTCTTGTGTGTGTAATAATTTCTATTATTGCACATAGCTTCATTTTGCAATAATTCTTGTGCAAATATTGTGTTGTCATTAAAGTTTTTCTTGCAGATTTTATGCAGTGTTGTGCAATACTTTTTGATTAGCAATTGTCATTTGCAATATTGCTACAGTTTATTTCAGTGCAGTTTCATATGCTCTGTTCTGTGCATAATATTTTATTCTTTCTGTGCCATTTTATTTTATTCCAGTGAATTGTGTCCCAGTTTGCTTTATTTTTGCACAAGCTTTATTGAGTCCATTTTATCATTTTATTGTGTATTTCCCTATTGCATTGAAAGTAAAGACAACTCACTGTGCCATTCATTCAATTTAAAGTAAAAGTTGAGCAAATTAGATTTGAGTAAAGTGCAAGTTCTCTTGATCGTCAAAGTGTTGTTTGTTCAGATAAGCATTTTCTCCGTGACTGAGTTCTTTGCTTCCTGTGTGACCTGTCAATTTTTAATTACTTATGCAGAATCGTTAAGCATTTTCTTCCCGTTTAAGCTTGTGTCATTCTTTCTATTTTTTTTGCCTTATGCCCTTCAGTAAGTTCACTGAGAAGATGTCCCAGTCACTTTTGAACGTTCACTTAGTGTATCATGCCAGTCAAAGTCAATATGAATCAGTCCACAGTACCAATATTCCCTTACTGACTGAAAGACAATACCTAGCCCTTGAGCAACGCGTTTGTTCTCACAGCTTGTATCAGATTTGTCAAAGTGCTGCGAAATGTGAAGTTCAGATTAAGTTCCTATAGAGCCATGAATTACTTATTAACGTAGCCGAGTGGTCAGGCACTAGTAACTGTCACTCCCATCTGTGTTCCACCTACACCTTCAGACTTGCAGGATAGTGTTCCGTTGCCTCAAGTGTCCTGGGACACTCAGACTGCCTTGAGTGCACAGCCTATCCCTGCAATGTCTGCTAGTTCGAGTAGTAGTTTCTCCACAGGGGATGCCTTGTCAGAAAACGATTACTTGAAACTAGTAATGCCATCTCTTGTTGATGTGACATGCTGTCTGCAGAAAGACGTCTCTGTTACAGCTAGTGCTCTCACTAGTGTCTGTTGTTGTTCCTAATGTTCCAGATGGTGATCCCATCCTAGTTGACAGTAATCAGTGCATTGTAAGAAGTTATTTCTCGAGTAACTTTCACATGTTAACGTTTGTAAGTGAAGTTTCTTTATAGCTGATACCTCGTGTCACTGTGTGTGACTCAGATTGAATATCAGCATTGTTGACCGTGTTCATTTATTTTCTCCTGTGCTTGCAGTTTGAGATAGTAGATTCGTTCTCCCTTGCTCATATTGCGTGTTAGAGCGTTAATTTTTTCAACCGGGGAGAGTCGTCCACTCCACCGAGTTTGTTCATTCCTCCAGTAAGAACCGATCCCTTGTGTTCTGGCGATTCGATTCCTGCTCCAGGAAGATCTTATTCTTACTGTGAAGCCACCAGCGCCCATTAGTGACTTTGTAATGAGCCAAGAATTACTGTATCGAACAGCCGAGTTGGGTACTCCAAGCAAAAGTGTACCAGTTAGTAATTCCACAGTCACTAGTGAACGTAGCTCTACAGCTAGTTCATGATGCACCAGGTGTTGCACACCCTGGTATGGATCGTCGAAGAATTTTCCCCCCAAAAAATTGCTATTTTTTCTTATTAAATGGTAGAGAATCTTTTTCTGAAGGTAATAAAACAAGTATGAAAAGTGATGAAAAATTTATGAAATTACACTATCACTAATTTTACTGCGTCAACGATATTTGTGCATCTGTGATTTTTGCCTACTTTGACTCCTATTTTAGGCCAATTACATTATTCCAGTCGATCAAATTCTTAGCCAAACTGCCCAATCAGCTATTTCAGCTACCCAATAATGTGATCAGAAATTGGTAATTTGGCCATTTTCACACAAAGTTCAAAATATTCCAATTTCAAAATAGGGTTCAGAATAAACAATGCAGGCATTCCTGGCACTACAATACATTTCCTTTGTTTATTAGTCATGTTTCCAGGCTTTACAGATGAATTCCATTTTGATTTTTTATTCGCATCAAAAAATAGAAGATTTACTGTTATGCAATATTGTAATAATTGTATAAATATCAGTGCATTTGAGAACATATGTCAGACCCACCAGATGGCGTGTGTTGGACGCATGATGCCATTTATTTACTTCTAAACACTGAATATCAGCAAAAATCAAACATTTCCATTACTTTGAGAACAATTTCAAGCTATTTTCAATACTAAAACTAATCAAAATCATCTCTATTTCTGTAATATATCTTCCATTCTATCATGAGACCAAGAAACCACTAATACAGCCATAAAAACCATATGAAAATATAATGCAAAGTCGATGTTTTAATCCAAAAGCACAGTCACAGTTTTTTCTCATTATGCACCGTGTGTTGCACGATTTGTTTTATGTGGTGCACACTTGCCACAAATGCATTCTCTCATATCTAGGCCCAAATTTACCACTCACAGCTTATCTGAGTGAGCTGAACTCATGACAAAGTACTACAGCTTGGACCCTGGCTTCAAAGCCGTAGAGCTACAGGACGGATCCTCAAAAGGTTAAAATTCTTTTATACAAATATTTTGTATCAAGTAGTACTCCTGAAATTCTATCCGATATACACAATCATCCACTTTCATCTTTTAAACAGAAAATCAACTTACAAATTGTTAGTTTTGATATTTGTATTAGCAGAGTTCTGCAGAGTGTTGGCACTGCTGGTAGACTTGGTCTCTGATTCAGATTCAGAGGCAGACTCTGAATTACTGCCTTGTCCACGCCGACCATAGTAGCGACGGCATGGTGGTGATGGCAGTTTTGCAGGTGGCTCTGGTGTTCCTACACCACCTACATGCTGAACTGCAACAGCAGCCTGGTTTCCACTTGTCTGAAATATATATAAACATTTTATTTTTATTATCACACTGGCCGATTCCCACCAAGGCAGGGTGGCCCGAAAAAGAAAAACTTAAACCATCATTTACTCCATCACTGTCTTGCCGGAAGGGTGCTTTACACTACAGTTTTTAAACTGCAACATTAACACCTCTCCTTCAGAGTGCAGGCACTGTACTTCCCATCTTCAGGACTCTAAGTCCGGCCTGCCGGTTTCCCTGAACCCCTTCATAAATGTTACTTTGCTCACACTCCAACAGCACGTCAAGTATTAAAAACCATTTGTCTCCAGTCACTCCTATCAAACACGCTCATGCATGCCTGCTGGAAGTCCAAGCCCCTCGCACACAAAACCTCCTTTACCCCTTCCCTCCAACCTTTCCTAGGCCGACCCCTACCCCACCTTCCTTCCACTACAGACTGATACACTCTTGAAGTCACTCTGTTTCGCTCCATTCTCTCTACATGTCCAAACCACCTCAACAACCCTTCCTCAGCCCTCTGGACAACAGTTTTGGTAATCCCGCACCTCCTCCTAACTTCCAAACTACGAATTCTCTGCATTATATTCACACCACACATTGCCCTCAGACATGACATCTCCACTGCCTCCAGCCTTCTCCTCGCTGCAACATTCATCACACATGCTTCACACCCATATAAGAGCGTTGGTAAAACTATACTCTCATACATTCCCCTCTTTGCCTCCAAGGACAAAGTTCTTTGTCTCAACAGACTCCTAAGTGCACCACTCACCCTTTTCCCCTCATCAATTCTATGATTCACCTCATCTTTCATAGACCCATCCGCTGACACGTCCACTCCCAAATATCTGAATACATTCACCTCCTCCATACTCTCTCCCTCCAATCTGATATCCAATCTTTCATCACCTAATCTTTTTATCCTCATAACCTTACTCTTTCCTGTATTCACTTTTAATTTTCTTCTTTTGCACACCCTACCAAATTCATCCACCAATCTCTGCAACTTCTCTTCAGAATCTCCCAAGAGTACAGTGTCATCAGCAAAGAGCAACTGTGACAGCTCCCACTTTATGTGTGATTCTTTATCTTTTAACTCCACGCCTCTTGCCAAGACCCTCGCATTTACTTCTCTTACAACCCCATCTATAAATATATTAAACAACCACGGTGACATCACACATCCTTGTCTAAGGCCTACTTTTACTGGGAAACAATTTCCATCTTTCCTACATATTCTAACTTGAGCCTCACTATCCTCGTAAAAACTCTTCACTGCTTTCAGTAACCTACCTCCTACACCATACACTTGCAACATCTGCCACATTGCCCCCCTATCCACCCTGTCATACGCCTTTTCCAAATCCATAAATGCCACAAAGACCTCTTTAGCCTTATCTAAATACTGTTCACTTATATATTTCACTGTAAACACCTGGTCCACACACCCCCTACCTTTCCTAAAGCCTCCTTGTTCATCTGCTATCCTATTCTGTCTTACTCTTAATTCTTTCAATAATAACTACCAGGTATACTCAACAGACTTATCCCCCTATAATTTTTGCACTCTTTTGTCCCCTTTGCCTTTATACAAAGGAACTATGCACGCGCTCTGCCAATCCCTAGGTACCTTACCCTCTTCCATACATTTATTAAATAACTGCACCAACCACTCCAAAACTATATCCCCACCTGCTTTTAACATTTCTATCTTTATTCCATCAATATAAATACTGGTAACTAAAAGAATACCAGTTGGAACAGCTCAATATTAACCCTTTCAGGGTCAAGATCCCTAATTTCAAACTTGCTCTCAGGGTTGACGAAAAAAAAATTGATGGAAAACTCGTGGAACTATACTCTTGCAAAGTTACCAGTCTCGGTGATATTTAGGCATTGGTGATTTCACCCACTTTGCACCTTATTTTTGGCCAATTCCATTGTTCCAGTCAACAAAGCTCATAGCTACTGCATTAGCATTCCTCCTATTCTTCTGATTCTATGCTAAAGCATGAAACAACTCTTATAAAAGCAAAGGGTGGTCATCACTCTTTTTAACGTAAAAGGACAAGTGCAACTAATGTGACATTTTATTGTGGCAACGTTTTGCTCTCCAGGAGCTTTGTCAAGCTGTTACATACAGTACATGGACACAGAGGGTATATATAGGCTCAGAGTGAGCTGCAATACTAGTGGTAACAGTAGTAGTAGTAGTGATACAAGTTGTAGTAGTAGCAACACAATATGGAAGAACAATTAACTCGCGAGTTAGGAGGGAGGGAATGTTAAGGTGGCCTGGGCATGTAGTAGATATTGGTTACCCACTCCCACTCACATCAGTTTTTAATTTGTATATTAATTTTATTAAAATTATGAATCACAATAGCTCTGTATAACTACAGGCTAATAGAAGACATAGAAGAGAAGCCATTCCACTACTTTGTATATTAAAATTACACATACCCAACCATGAGATCGATTCTTTTGGTGAACGATTCATCGTTACTCGCAATGCATGCTCCTAATTTTATCAGATGCATTTCGTGTGTATTTTCAGTGGTCTTACTGTCTACTTTCAGCGTAAAACCCATTTTAAACTCACCTTAGGTGGGGAAGGAGTCTTTTTGTCAGCACTCTTTGATCGGCTGTGTGATTTTGACTGACTATGCGAGCGTCTATGAGAACCTCGACCTCTTCTCCAACTGTAATGCCTTCATGAATACAAATGAAGTGAAATTTTTTAACAATGTTTCACAGGAGTTATAATTTTCTTATACCAATTTTTGTTTGTCTATCTCAAAATTAATTATCCATCTCACAGCAATAATTTTATCTTAAAATTCCCCTAAACTGACCTGTCACGTGATCTTGATCTAGAGGGTGACTTGCTGTGTGACTTGGTGTATCTTGAATGCCTAGTATGGGAGTGGGAACGGGAATGTCGAGAGTGAGATCGGGAATGACGTGACCTCTGCCGACGATGAGATCGACTGCTAGATCCACTCCGAGAACGAGACCTGTTTCAACCACTAACATTAAGTGATCTCTTAATTAGCAGCTTATTTTGGAAAAAGGAAATTTCCACATACACATAGTAAAGCATTTAGTTTCTTCACCTATAATGCTATACACTTTACAAATGTTAATGATCAACAGATGTTGAACCAGTGTTTAAATTCTCCAAAAATTTCCTACTAGAAACTGGAACATTTAATACTATTTCAGATAATAATATAAAGAAAAAATCTATTATGTACATCTAATGTACCTTAAAAAAAAAAAAAAAAAAAAAAAAAAAAAAAAAAAAAAAAAAAAAAAAAAAAAAAAAAACATACATAAATATAAAAATGAAGACCAAAATAAATAAGAATACAGGAAATCTGGAAATTGTAGACCATTATAAAGTGTGGATCAGTACTGCATTACATTTCCTATAATCTGCTTGTGACCTCTGACGAAATATTATGGCTTCATCTAAGAGTTAACGAAACTACTCTGAAATATATAATTATATTTACAACAATAGTGAAGAGCTTAGATATTAGGACTTCCCTGCACTTACTTACCAAAAACCATGCTGTTGAAGTTCTCACCACTAATGCAACATCTTTTCCCATCATCGCTTTATGTGTTCACTTTAGTTTTTGCCCTTAAATTTTCTGTTACCAGACTGGCTGTCTGATGCAAGTAACCCAGCAACCAACATGAACAAAACAATGTAACCTTTAGCACTTAATAAGCTCTTGTGTAAATGGTCTGGTTGCTCTTTTGGTTCCACTTATATTTTAGCACAATCAAATGACTTAATAACTTTCCCATGCAGCATCAGCCCAATTATTATGGTGAGGCCAAGTGAAACAGGATCAAGTTGGCCAAGAACTAGTGGCGGCAGATTATATGTCTGGACACATGGCTGAAGAGATAAAAGAGGGAGCCACGCCAGGGGGGTTAGCCACCTGGTGGGGGGGATACCGACCGGCTGCGAGGTGAGTGACGTCGTTTCTTTGAGGATGAAGAGTGGCTGGAGGCGGTAGTGTGGCTGCTACTGCTGGGCCCTGTACTTCCAGAACGGTGATGACTCCCTCCTCCACTTTCACGGGACTTCTGATCCCAGCGATTCTTACGCCGATCACGAACTGCACGATCCCCCTTTGGCAAAATAATGACACCAGTAACACCCTCATCATCTGTTCCTGCACCATCAGATTCTCCTCCAAAGCTTGTAATAAACTTTATTGTCCCAGTTGCAGGAGGCGTAGGAGAGCGGGACTTTGAGCGTGAAGAAGACCTCCGATATGGTGCATATGTTGGACTGGCTCGGGCAGCGTAACTGAAATTAAAATACACACGCTGCACTCTGATTCCCTGCCATCTACATATTTATCAAGTAACCAAAATAAAAAAATAAATTTCCAAACATTTGTAGCAAAAATCTGTATGCTGGCATGACTATTACAAGAACTAGATGGGGCAGTATTTTTACTTATCTGCTAAAGATTCCTATATACAATACTGTTAATTCACTGAAATGATTTTTAATGAAAGTCCAATTAGAAAACATCTCGTACACTAAAAGATTATTCTTACCTTGGTGGGCTGAATTTTCGGTCCATGTGTTTTTTCTTCAATGCCCGTCTCTCTTTTCGAGATTTACGACCCTGAAGCAGAGTTAAACATGAAAAATTGCTAAATATTTGTAATTATACACTGAACAGAATTAGTGTTAGAAAAATAGTTCAATAAAAATGACAGCTTATGAAAATAAAAACTGGGCAGGTAAATTTATTTTACAAGTAAGGTAAACTGTTGATATAACACTTCATGACACTTTTTGACAACTTTAAGCTTAATTTGAAAAATAAATATCAATCCTTATGAATTCAGATAATTTCTGAAATTGCCACTGAAAATTTTATGGACACCTAAACACAAGGTTCTAGATGTTGTTGCTCTATAACAATTCAAAAATGCCTGGTTTTCATTATAACATTGCTCAAACCAAAAATCATCTTATTTTAAGGCCTGTTTTCTTCAAGGGTAAAATGCCTATCCAGAAAACAGATATCTTGTAGTTTAGAATCTGCTCTTTCTAATGAAGTTTAAGAAAATTGGTTGTGCTGCTTTTTTGCTACTGGTCTTTAAAAAGAGCCTAAAATTCACTGAGGTCTATGAGGGCATTTTTAGGTACCATTAGTCTGAAATTTTAAGATTGTGACTGTTCCTTTGGGTAGCTTGCTACAATGTCATACTAAAATAATGTTTTCCTTTAGAGATACAGGCAGCTGAATTCAAGATTCAATTTTATGTGACAAGATTTCTTTTGCCTACTTTGGCTTCATCCTGTGAAAAAAAGTAAAAGAATCCAAGTTTTAGGACTGCAATTTTTTAAATCAACTCCAAAAGTTGTATAGGCATGTTTATTTACACAGCAATAACCTGAACAATGCTGACTGTGCTGCAGGTTGGTGAAATTTTCACCTGGCACCACTCTGAGGGCCACAGCATTACTACTATAGCATATCAAGAACTAAAACTTTTCCAGAGTTAGTATGACATATGCCAACCTTCATGTAAAATTTTATTGAAATTGGGGATGGTCAGGTAGGAATCCCTGGTTTACGTGACATGGAATGACCCTGTAGACAGGTTTTTAGTCTTTTTCTTTTTCAACACGTCAGCCGTCTCCCACCGAGGCAGGGTGACCCCAAAAAAGAAAAAATCCCCAAAAAGAAAATACTTTCATCATTCAATACTTTCACCACACTCACACATTATCACTGTTTTTGCAGAGGTGCTCAGAATACAACAGTTTAGAAGCATATACGTATAAAGATACACAACATATCCCTCCAAACTGCCAATATCCCAAACCCCTCCTTTAAAGTGCAGGCATTGTACTTCCCATTTCCAGGACTCAAGTCCGACTATATGAAAATAACCGGTTTCCCTGAATCCCTTCACTAAATATTACCCTGCTCACACTCCAACAGATCGTCAGGTCCCAAGTATCATTTGTCTCCATTCACTCCTATCTAACACGCTCATGCACGCTTGCTGGAAGTCCAAGCCCCTCGCCCACAAAACCTCCTTTACCCCCTCTTTCCAACCCTTTCGAGGACGACCCCTACCCCTCCTTCCTTCCCCTATAGATTTATATGCTTTCCATGTCATTCTACTTTTAGTTATGTTGGACATTATTCCAGTGATGGGATTAGTCAAACTTATAATTTAACAGTTTACCTGACATCAATTAATAACAATTTATTGTGACTCCTGGCACATCTGGCTGCCATCTTGACATGTGAAGCCTTTGGCGGTTTCACTGCCTCCCTATTTACTGTACAGGTCGGCCATCACTGATCTGGCAATCACTAATCCAGTTCCATCACAAATTTGACACTAATTTCGGCTAGTGTAAGTATCACACCCATTTTATGAGACACCTACTGAATGCAGTTAGCTCTGGCAGACCAGTATGTGAGTTTCTTAAGGAATTTAATGATCCCAATGATGCTGGATTAGTGATTGTCGACCTGTACATGATGTGCTGTTTCACACAACTACTGCAACCATTATGTTGCTCCTCAATGACCATTGCTATTTGATTATTTACACAACAGTGGGAGGCATTCAAATTAGATCCAAAGGAAAAGAGGGCAGTTACAATTACTTGGATGGAAAATACTGGCATCAAGGCACCTTCACCCATTATTCGAAGGGCAGAATCCTGCAGTGTATAGCTGCTCTATGTGAGCTAATTATGAGACCACAAGCTAGTTATGTTTACCCATCAGTCCATCACACACTGTGGTTTCATATACAAGGTAAGGAATTCTTTCAACCAGTGTGCTAAAGAATAATCAAGGAGGGAAGACTGAGAATGAAATTAAAGTAAAAAATTATAATTAATGTTTATACAGGCAAATATTTAACATTTTAATAGAAGTGAAACAAGAAACAATTGTTAAAAATGAAATCAAGCAACACTCACCGAGTACATGGCCTTTTCATCCTCGTGTTCTTTGGCCACTCTCAATTCTTCTGCTTCCTGAAGGTCACGGCTAATAAGAGACATGAAATCATCTTGATTCAGACCATACTCAACACCAGATATGTTCATCTCCTGTTGCTGAGTGTTGGACAACGACATCACATCAACTGTCAAATCTGCATGAGGAGGAAAAGTCCAATCAGTTGAAGTCTTTAATGCTTATAAAAATGTAAATAAACCCATAGTAAGCACCTAATTTGAAGTAAATTTCATAAAAAATAAAAAATTAAATTGAGATTTATTAGCTAGAACAATTTAAAAAGCAAAAAACAGTATGTAATATTAATATAATACAAAAAAAATAAACTGAAATTAGTTTCACATAGCAAACAAATTTAAAGCTATTTTAAGGAATTTAAACTAAGTCTCTACAGGATATCCTGGTTCCATATTTCCCCACAACCTATGATTCCCTCAATAAACTTTAGCAGATAATTTGGGTACAACTCAAATGCTATTTTGACAGCAAAAACTAATTCAGTAGTTGTATTTGACAAGGCTACAAGATAAGAACAACTTTAATGATCAGGCAGTTGACTACAAAGTCTGTCCACAGGTAAAAACAGGTAATTACAGGTAGGCCTTTAGAAACACTCATAAAACCAGACATGTCTTAGGGGCTTAATATGAGTTCAAAAGAAAGTTCAGTGGAAACTTTAACCCAGACCACTAATAGGCATCACTCACCCAGGTCAATATCACTGTCACTTTCATCATCGGAGCCTTCACCTGCTACTTCATCTCCACCCTCTGGCAAAACAGAATCTGCATTTGAAGAGCCGGGTCTCTCCTCCTCCTCCTCTTCTGCTTCCTCCGTGTAAGTAAATGCAATAGCTGCTTTTTTGGGAGCTAAAGTTTTCTTTTCTTCTTCAATTGGTTTATTAACAATAGGCCCAAACTGTTCCTCTAGGCGAATTTGGTGCAGGAATTTCTCTTCTTTAACTAAAATATTGAGAAACAATAAAAGTATTCAGAAAATATTTTTTTTTCGCTAAAATAACAACACATGCCAATAGTAACTACTTACCTGATATTATACTAGTCCACATTTCAGTAGTTCTGATGTCTCTTATCTAGACTGACACCTGTTTGAATTTTTAACTCTAATATTATGAGAATAATTATTGCTATAACACTTTCCATGTACAACACTAACAACACAAGTTAGATATTATGCTTTTGGAGCAATGCAGATTACAAGATGACATGATCATTTTACAAAGTACTTGGAACACACATGGTATGCAAGGAAAGACTAGCAGGGAGGATCCACAACAAAGGAAGAACAGGTAGAAGCTGAACATCCAAGAGAATTCAAGATGTGAGCCCTTTTTTAAAGAATGATTTTGGTATATTATGACAAAAAGAGAAACCAAAAAATTCTGACAAGTGTGCAAACAAAAATCTTTGAGTGTGCTGTAACATGCAAAATAATCAGCTAACATGAAAATTTTAGTATTGTCTACTGTAGGATTCCATGGCATCAAGTTATACGAAAAATAACACGGAACTTTTTGCCCCTCTGACCAAAGTTGAGCCTGAGGTTTGAGTGTTTGGGGAAAAACAGCTCCTTCCTTTCCCCACTGCCACCCATGCTACCTATGGCTACTCTCTAGTAGGAGCATCACCTATCTTCTGCACTCCTTTTTTATCTATGGATATTAGCCATGATGATGCTGCTGCTGCTGAAGGCACTAAGAAAAATAGCCAATACCAATACTTTGGCACACCTTCATTTCTATAATTACAAAGAGACAGAACAAACTCAAGGTAGCAATGTAGACAGCCTGTACTGTCAGCACAGACAGCCTATGCTGTCTGCCAGCTTAGTTCATATTTCGCGGCATTTAAGTGCTGCCCTCTGTAGGCTTACCCAGGTCAGTGGGATGCTGGGCCCATTCGTCCTCACTTCCCCGCCGACTGACTTGAGAGGTACAAGTGCTCCCCCTCCATGGACTGGCTATCGGTCATTCCCTCACATTGCCCGTTGTGTACTCACTCCTATCCAATTAAAGCCAAACTAGTCCACGGCCATATCATTGCTACCTACGCTACCTCCACTGGCACTAAACCGTTGTTCAACAGCAAGAACAGTAATAACATCACCAAATAAATTTTAAAAGTTATGACAATGTGACTGTACACAGTATTACCCTAAAAGCTATGAGAATTGGCAGGTAGACAGCATCAAGTCCAATATAACCACCAATGTGGGTGATAACATTCTCAAAATTATTCAAATTATTAGCTCCAGGAACACACATTAATGTGACCTCTGTTGTGGACAATAAATCCAGTAGTTTAAGTCATTCGTGCCAGGAAAATACAAATCCACCAGTCTCACATTTGGTTAATGACAATTTTGTGCTACTTCAATTAACTTACCATAAATGATAACAGGCTGATCAATTGGCGTGACACACACACACACACACAAAATGGTCGATACTGATACTCGGTTGCAGACAATAACATCAAAATTAGCAGATACCTGCCAATACTGATACCAATGCTTTAACATACCCCTAGCTGGCAGTTCCCAATATGCCCAGAGTGCATGCATCAAATTTGAGTACATTGGAGTCATCACTTGTGTATGAATATATTAGATATGTTAAAGAGTTAAGTAAAGGCCATAAACTTAAAAAAAAAAAAAAAAATAGCACTGACTTGACTTTTAGTAAAGAGAGCAAAACTTACTGCCTAAGAAATCATTTTGTATAAGTATGCGGTAACGTTCATAATTTGCTTGACGCTCTTCCCAATCTTCTTCTGCCGTTAGTTTCTGCGATGATGCTGACAGTGGTGGTAGGTCATCTAAGTGTGCACGGACATCAAAACGATCTATCATGGAGTCAGAATCCCCACGCCAAGGCATCCTGAAATAATTATGATACAGGTGAAGAGAGGGAGTGTGTGTAAAGGTAGAAAGTTTGAAGTGAACATAGAAAAGAGTAAGGTGAAGAGGGTATCGAACTATTTAGAAAAAGAAAAATTGGATATCAAATTGGAGGAGGAGGAGTATGGAAGAAGTGAATGTTTTCATATAGTACTTGGGAGTTGATGTGTCAGCGGAGGGATGTATGAAAGATGAGGTTAACCACAGAACTGATGAAGGAAAAAAGGCAAGCGGTGCACTGAGGTATATGTGGAGACAAAAAATATTATCTATGGAAGCAAAAGGAATGTACGAGAGTACAGTAGTACCAACACTCTTACATGGGTGTGAAGCTTGGGTTGTAAATGCTGCAGTGAGGAGGCAGTGGAGATGTCCTGTCTAAGGGCAATGTGTGGTGTAAATACATATTATGCAGAGAATTCGGAGTGTGGAAATTAGGAGAATGTGTGGAGTTAATAAAAGTATTAGTCAAAGGGCTGAAGAGGGTTTGTTGAGGTGGTTTGGTCATTTAGAGATAATGGATCAAAGTAGAATGATATGGAGAGCGTATAAATATGTAGGGGAAGGAAGGTGGGGAAGGGGTCATCCTTGAAAAGATTGGAGGGAGGGGGTAAAGGAGGTTTTGAGGGCAAAACTTCCAGCAAGCATGCGTGAGTGTGTTAGATAGGAGTGAATGGAGACGAATGGTATTTGGGACCTGACGAGCTGTTGGAGAGTGAGCAGGGTAATATTTAGTGAAGGGATTCAGGGAAACCGGTTATTTTTATATAGCCGGACTTGAGTTCCGGAAATGGGAAGCACAATGCCTGAACTTTAAAGGAGGGGTTTGGGATATTGGCAGTTTGGAGGGATATGCTGTTCATTTTTATACATACATGCCTCTAAACTGTTGTGTTCTGGGCACCTCTGCAAAGACAGTGATTATGTACGAGTGAGATGAAAAAGTGTTGAATGATGATGATGAAAGTATTTTCTTTTTGGGTCACCCTACCTGCCTCTGTGGGAGATGGCCAACTTAAAAAAAAAAAGAGGCAGGCAGTAATTTCATGTATTAGCCAGGGAGGTAGTATAACATCTCTTAGGAATGAAGAAGAGCTGGATGTGAGTGGGAGAGGTGCACGAGGCATTGGGTAGATTGAAGAGGGGCAAAGCAGCTGGGACTGATGGGATCATGGCAGAAATGTTAAAAGCAGGTGGGGATATAGTTTTCGAGTGATTGTTACTTTTGTTCAATAAATGTATGAAAGAGGGGAAGTTACCTAGGGATACAGAATGTGCATAGTTTCTTTATATAAAGGGAAGGGGACAAAAAGAGTAAAATTATAGGGGAATAAGTCTACAGTCTCCATGGGGAAGTGGAACAGAATTCTTCCTCTGCAAGCTATGCGTGTTGTAAGAGGCTACTAAAATGCCGGGAGCAAGGGGCTAGTAACCACTTCTCCTGTATACATTATGAAATTTATAAAGGAGAAACTTTCGTCTTTCCTCCTAGGCCACCCTGCCTTGGTGGAATACTGCCGGTTTGCTGAAAGCAGTTGTTTACCGAGTATACCTGACCTGGTAAAGTGTATGGTAGGGTTATTACTGGAAGAATTAGAGGCAAGATGGAGAGCAGGATCGCAGATAAACAAGGAGGCTTTAGAATGGGTAGGGGATGTGTAGAACAAGTACTTACATTGAAACATACAAGTGAATAACATTTAGATAAACGTAGGAAAGTTTTACTGCTTTTATGGATTTAGAAAAGGCTTATGATAGGGTGGATGGGGAAGCAATGTGGCAGGTGTTGCAAGTGTATGGAATAGATGGTCAGTTACTAAATGCAGTAAAGAATTATGAGGATAGTGAGGCTTGGGTTAGGGTGTATAGGAGAGGGGCAGATTGCTTCCCAGTAAAAGTAGGTTTTAGACAAGGATGCTTAATGCACCATGGTTGTTTAACATATTTATATACGAGTTAGTGGACAAGTTTGGGAGGGTAAGTAAAGGAAGAAAGTTTATAGTGAACATAGATAAGTGTAAGGTGATGAAGGTATCAAAGGATTTAGATAAGGAAAAATTGGATATCATATTGAAGGCAGGGAGTATGGAAGAAGTGGATGTCTTCAGATATTTGGGAGTTGACTTGTCAGCAGATGGGTTTACGAAGGATGAGGGTTAGCCATAGAATTGATCAAGGAAAAAAGGTGGGGGTGCATCAAGGTATCTGTGGAGACGAGGAACATTACCCACGGAGAAAAAGAAGAGAATGTATGAAAGTACTATGATACCAACACTCTTATATGGGTGTGAAGCATGGGTTTTAAATGTTGTAGCAAGGAGGAGCCTGGAGGAAGTGGAGATGTGTCTCAGGGCAATGTGTGGCGTAAATATTATGCAGAGAATTCGCAGTGTGGAAACAAGGAGGAGGTGGTGTGGAGTTACCAAAAGTATTGGAAGGGTTGTTGAAGTGGTTTGATCATTTAGAGAAGATGGAGCAAAATAGGATGACTTGGAGGGTGCATAAATATGTACTGGAGGGAAGGCGAGGCAAGTGTTGTCCTATGAAAGGATGGAGGGAGGGGATAAAAGTGGTTTTGTGTGCAAGGAATTTGATATATAGCAGGCATGTGTGAGCATGTTAGATAGGAGTGAAGACAAATGGTTTTTGGGACTTGACGAGCTGTTGGAGTGTGAGCAGGGTAATATTTATGAAGGGATTTAAGGACACCGGTTAGCCAGACTCGAGTACTGGAGGTGGGAAGTAGAATGCCTATACTTTAAGGGAGGGGTCTGGGATATCTGCTGTTTGGAGTGACATCTAAACTGTCCTATCTGAGTACCTCTGCAAAGACAGTGATTGTGTGTGAATGATGGCGAGTGTTTTTCTCTTTGGAATTACCCTGCCTTGATGGGAGACAGTCAAAGTGTTAAAACAAATATTTCAAGAAAAAGAGGATAAATAAAGAGAAGATATAATATAGGGAATAATGACAATGTGTTGGATTATGTCTTGGTGGATAAAAGTTTATGGGTAGACTTCTGGATGTGCACATTTATAGAGGGGCAACAGATGTATTAGATCATTATTTAGTTGTAGCTACAGTGAGTAAGAGGTAGTGAGGGGTACAAGGAAATTGGCATCAAAATGTCTCAATGCCCCCCACTACAGTGCCATCATTTACTGTATGGTTCACTTCATTGTTCATAAACCCATCTGCTGACTAGCCTACTCCCAAGTATCTAAATACATCCACTTCCTCCATACTCCCTACCTCAATCTAATATTCAACCTATCATTGCTTAAACATTTTGATACCCTCATCACTTTGCTCTTTTCTATGTTCACTTTTAATTTCCTACTTTTACATATCCTTCCAAATTCATCCATGAACCTTAGCAACTTGTGCTCACAATCTCCAATAAGAACTTTCTCATCAACCAAATAACTGTGATAACTGCCACTGTGCATAAGATCCAAGATATTTTAATCCCACACCACTCCAGCACCCTACCACTTATTCCGTATATTTGCAACATCTGCTACATGGTTTCCCTATACACTATCCTATGACGAGTTATAAATGCACGCGAAAGAATAAAGAGTTTTTTGGTGCCTTCAACAAGGATATTGGGAATTTTTCTTTATGAATACAGTAGCAGTAGAAGAGTGGAATAAATTTAAAGATATGATAGTGCTACATACATTGGAAATTTAAACAAAACTCGTATGGATAGGATGAGCATATTAATGAAGACAACCTCAAGCATAGCTCTGCTCCTGCAACTACAATAATTATTTATTTTGAGAAAACCCAATATACAGGAACATGTATATTAACTGTGTAAAACATTCATTCTGAGACTTGGCAAGTTCTACATTTCTTGACTAATGTTTACCAAAAAAAATACAAGCTTACCACATATGCACCAAAAGGTCATAAGAAGGGAATCTGGCTGACATATGAAAAAATGTAAAGCCATAAACAATCATAATCCATATACAATTAACAGAGCCAGATCCTCAAAAAATTCCAAATTTTTCTTGACCTATTTTTATTAAAAAAAAATTATGAGGATACCAGTCACCAAAGATCCAACAAGTGCAATTGGCCAATTAATAAAAAATTAAAACCAAAATTTAATTTTAATCCTTCATATTTACCATTGCTTCTCCCTTCACCATCAACTGTCTCAATCTTAGTCTAGGTTGAGGCACACCTGTTATGAACTTGGGAATACATATTTCCCAATTTCTCTTCATTCCCTCCCTTAAACAAATTCCCAATTCTGCATTAGAGCAACCCAGCTTCATTTTCTTCTGAACCAGCACAAGATCTCCAGCTGAAATCTAGCCACAGGATATTGTTCAAAATATACTTATTGTATTTCCCCATGTCCAAATCTGTTTTCTTTCTCACAAATATCAACATAAACCAGTTCAGTTGTGCTGGGCTTGGCTGATGGCATAAGAACAAATTTATTTTTTATTTTATTAACACATTGGCTGTCTCCCACCAAGGAAGGGTGGCCCAAAAAAGAAAAACTTTCATCATTCACTCCATCACTGTCTTGCCAGAAGTGCACTTACATTAGTTATAAAACTGCAACATTAACATCCCTCCTTCAGAGTGCAGACACTGTACTTCCCATCTCCAGGACTCAAGTCAGGCCTGCCGGTTTCCCTGAACCCCTTCATAAATGTTACCTTGTTCACACTCCAACAGCACGTCAAGTCCTAAAAATCATTTGTCTCTACTCGCTCCTACCTAACATGCTCATGCTTGCTTGCTTGAAGTCCAAACCCCTTGCACACTAAACCTCCTTTACCCCCTCCCTCCAACCTTTCCAAGGCCAACCCCTACCCCATCTTCCCTCCACTACAGATTTATACATTCTCGAAGTCATTCTATTTCCCTCCATCCTCTCTACATATCCAAACCACCTCAACAACCCTTCCTCAGCCCTCTGCATAATAGTTTTGGTAATCCTGCACCTCCTCCTAATTTCCAAACTACGAATTCTCTGCATTATATCCACACCACACATTGCTCTCAGACATGACATCTCCACTGCCTCCAGCCTTCTCCTTGTTATAATGTTCATCACCCCTGTTTCACACCCATACAAGAGCATTGGTATAACTATACTTTCATACATTCCCCTCTTTGCTTCCATGGACAAAGTTCTTTGTCTCCACAGACTTCTAAGTGCACCACTCACATTTTTCCCCTCTTCAATTCTATGATTCACTTCATCTTTTATAGACCCATCTGCTGACACATCCACGCCTAAATATCTGAATACATTCACCTCCATACTCTCTCTCTCCCCTTGTACTGTGAATTCACATGCACTTGAGGGAAATTTGTACAACCTTACTATCCTCAGTGTTGGAGCACCACTTCATCTAAGAGCACACAGTTTTTCAGATTATCAACAATAAACTAATATTTAGCATTATTGTTTTTATAATATCTGCTGTTTCCCATCAAGGCAGGATGACCCAAAGGAAACCACATTCACCATCATATGAAGTTTCATGCAAGCAATCTGACAATGCTGTTGAGGTACTGCTTGGAATAAAACAATTTAAATCCTTGAAATTATAACATTCATTATAACTGAAATCTTCCAGACTGCATCCTAAACTAATCCAATGGTGTGCATAACAAAACAGCACGATATGCTATAGTGTTATGGAACTTTGCCAAAAGATGAATATCTGCAACAAAAAATTTAATTTCCAAAAGGATTCCAGGAAAGATATCTTAAAACCAATAAATTACACTAACAAACCTTTACATTTGTATTTTAATTGTAACCACTTTCATATGTTCATACAGTCTAGAAGAAGAATGAAGTTTTTAAAAATTATAGTGGAAACTAAAATTGAACAAATTCATAAATATCTGCTTGAAATGGAAACTAATACTTACATGCTGCCTGGAGCCTCAGCAGCATAGGCCACAGCTGGGTCCAGGTGAATTTTAACTGGACGGCCATGGAGCTGGATAAATTGAGTAGGATCCTGTTTCTGCAATAATGAGATATTCAGTGTTATTACTTAAATATAGCTATGCTTAATCTTCCCTAGAGCAAGAAAGTGTAGTCTAGATCATGAAGCTTGATATTCTTAAAAAATTATTTATATCTATACACACACAGGAAATGGTATGGTGATACCGACAAGATGTGGAAAAAGACACTAATGTACAGTTCAAGACATTTATTAGAACTGTACATTAGTGTCTTTTTCCATACCTACCATCCGACTTACGACCTGCTCGACTTACGACCTGCTCGACTTACGACCACTCGACTTACGACCGTATTTTTTATGCCAAATTTCTGGGAAATAAACAACTATTTGTGTTGTACACAGTGTTTATTACCTCATCTTCTGTATATAGTCCTACTGTCTTCAAGTTATGTCCTGGAATTTGTATTGATAAAGCCACTGGATGGCGAAACATCTACAATAAAGATACCCAGATGTTGCACACGTCTTAATTTCAACCAGAATGATGTCGAGTTATTGGTGAATATTGGAAAGCCAGTGGCATTAGGTGACAAGGAGAGTAACAGGTATAGTGGAGGAACAGAAATCAGCAGGAAGAGAAAAGAGAAGGGAGAGTTTCTGAACACACATTATACTAATAGTTGTAGTGTGAGAAACAAGATGGACGAATTGAGATTAGTTGCAAGTGTGGGTAACAATGATGTTTTTGCCATAACCGAGACGTGGTTTAATGTGAAAAATAGGGACATGCCAGAGAAGTGGCAGATGCAGTTCAATGTAGATAAGTGCTAAGTTTTAAAGTGTGGGAATGTTCGTAACCCTAGCACTTACCAGCTTAATAATGTTGAACTTAGCCTTACAGAATGTGAAAAGGACTTGGGGGTTATGGCAAGCAGCAACCTTAAACCACGACAGCAATGCCTAAGCATGCATAATAAGGCAAATATATTATTGGTATTTATATCAAGAAGTGTAAGCAACATAAGTCCAGCGGTTATACTACAGTTTTATACATCATTAGTAAGGCCTCCCCTAGATTACACAGCTCAGTTCTGGTTTCCGTATTACAGAATGGATACAAGTTCATTAGAAAACATTCAGTGAAGAATGACAAAATTAATTCATAGCATTAGAAATCTTCCTTATGACATTCACTTCTAAGACGAAGAATGAGGGAAGACATGATTGAAGTGTATAAGTGGAAGATGGGTATTAACAAAGGGGACATAAATAAGGTCTTGAGAACATAAGAACATTAGAAAGGAGGAACACAGCAGTAGGCCTGTTGGCCATACCAGGCAGATTCTTCACAATCCATTCCACCAACAAAATATTTGCCCAATCCAATTTTCAATGCTACCCAAGAAATAAGCTTTGATAATTCTATTTACCCATGTGCAAGTCCCACTCAAATCTAACCCCTCTCACTTGTGTATTTATCCAACCTAAATTTGAAACTACCAAAGGTTTTAGCCTCGGTAACCCTACTAAGGAGACTGTTCCACTCATCAACTACCCTATTTCCAAGCCAATACTTTCCTACATCCTTTCTAAATCTAAACTTATCCAATTTGAATCCATTATTGCAGGTTCTCTCTTGGAGAGAGATTCTCAAGACCTTATTTATATCCCCTTTATTGATACCCATCTTCCACTTATACACTTCGATCGTGTCTCCCCTCATTCTTCGTCTAACATGTGAATGTAATTTAAGGGTCTTCAATCTTTCTTCATAAGGAAGATTTCTAATGCTATGTATTAATTTAGTCATTTTACACTGAATGTTTTCTACCGAATTTATGTCCATTCTGTAATAAGGAGACCAAAACTAAGCTGCGTAATCTAGGTGAGGCCTTACTAATGATGTATAAAGCTGTAATATAACCTATGAACTTCTGTTGCTTACACTTCTTGATATACATATATCCCAGTACTCTGTTTGTCCTATTACGTATGCTTAGGCATTGCTGTCTTGGTTTAAGGTTACTGCTTATCATAACCCCTCAAGTCCTTTTTGCAATCTGTATGGCTAAGTTCTACATTATTTAACTTACAAGTGCTAGGGTTATGGACACTCCCGAGCTTCAGAACTTTGCATTTATCTACATTGAACTGTATCTGCCACTTTTCTGACCAGGTATTGAGTTAGTCTAAATCCTCCTGAAGTTCCCTGATATCTATGAGTCAATTATCCTATCTTTGTGTCATCGGCAATTGTAATACCCTCATCAAGATCATTGATATATATTACAAACAACAACGGGCCCAAGACTGATCCCTGTGGAACACTACTCGTTACAGATCCTCACTCGGATTTAACCCCATTTATGCCCAATCTACTCCCTGTCTGTGAGCCATGACTCGATCCATGAGAGCACTTTTCCCCCAATGCCATGAGCTGCCACTTTCTTTAACAGTCTTTGGTGCAGTACTCTATCAAAAGCCTTAATAAAATCTGAATAAACAATATCAAATTCTTCATGATCAACACCCTCAAAAGCTTTACTGAAGAAAGTTAATAAATTAATTAGACAAGAACGGTCTCTCGTGAATCCATGCTGAGTATCATTAATCAGATTGTGCTTATCCAGATGGCTTCTTATAATCTCAGCTATAATTGACAAGTAATTTGCCTACAATTGAGGTCAGGTAATCTGACGATAACGGCTTGTCTCCTGTTTTAAAAGTAGGAATTACATTAGCCATCTTCCACATATCAGACACTACACCTGTTTGAAGAGAAAAATTAAAAATATTAGTTAATGGTTCACAGTTCCATTTTGCATTCCTTAAGAACCCTTGAAAAAAGCTCATAAGGACCTGGTGATTTATTTTGTTTCAGTCAGTATTTGTTTCATAACCATTTCACTAGTGACTGTGATGTTACATAACTATTTAAAATCGAGCACATTTCATTCTCTTTGTCAGTAAGATGCCCATAGTTATTTTAAGGGGACCTATTTTATCTCTAACTTTTGTTCTATACACCTGGAAAAAACTTTTTGGGTTAGTTTTCAAATCCCTAGCAAGCTGGAACTGATGGGATCATGACAGAAATGTTAAAAGCAGGGGGTGATAGTGTTGGAGTGGTTGGTACTTTTGTTTAATATATGTATGAAAGAGAAGGTACCTAGGGATTGGCAGAGAGCATGTATAGTCCCTTTACAGGGAAGGGGGACAAAAGAGATTGTAAAAATTATAGAGGAATAAGTTTATTGAGTATAACAGGAAAAGTGTACGGTAGTGTTATTATTGAAAGAATTAGAGGTAAGACAGAATGTAGGATTGCGGATGAGCAAGGAGGTTTCAGAGTGGGCAGGGGATGGGTAGATCAAGTGATTACATTGAAGCATATATGTGAACAGTATTTAGATAAAGGTAGGGAAGCTTTTATTGCATTTATGGATTTAGAAAAGGCATATGATAGAGTGGATAGGGGAGCAATGTGGCAGATGTTGCAAGTATATATGGAATAGGTGGTAAGTTACTAAATGCTGTAAAGAGTTTTTATGAGGATAGTGAGGCTCAGGTTAGGGTGTGTAGAAGAGAGGGAGAATACTTCCCGGTAAAAGTAGATCTTAGACAGGGATGTGTAATGTCACCATGGCTGTTTAATATATTTATAGATGGGGTTGTAAAAGAAGTAAATGCTAGGGTGTTCGGGAGAGGGGTGGGATTAAATTATGGTAAATCAAATACAAAATGGGAATTGACACAGTTACTTTTTGCTGATGATACTGTGCTTATGGGAGATTCTAAAGAACAATTGCAAAGGTTAGTGGATGAGTTTGGGAGTGTGTGTAAAGGTAGAAAGTTGAAAGTGAACATAGAAAAGAGTAAGGTGATGAGGGTATCAAATGATTTAGATAAAGAAAAATTGGATATCAAATTGGGGAGGAGGAGTATGGAAGAAGTGAAAGTTTTCAGATACGTACTTGGGAGTTGACGTGTCGGCGGATGGATTTATAAAGGATGAGGTTAATCATAGAATTGATGAAGGAAAAAAAGGTGAGTGGTGCGTTGAGGTATATGTGGAGTCAAAAAACGTTATCTATGGAGGCAAAGAAGGGAATGTATGAAAGTATAGTGGTACCAACACTCTTATATGGGTGTGAAGCTTGGGTTGTGAATGTAGCAGCGAGAAGGCGGTTGGAGGCAGTGGAGATGTCCTGTCTAAGGGCAATGTGTGGTGTAAATATTATGCAGAAAATTCGGAGTGTGGAAATTAGGAGAAGGTGTGGAGTTAATAAAAGTATTAGTCAGAGGGCTGAAGAGGGGTTGTTGAGGTGGTTTGGTCATTTAGAGAGAATGGATCAAAGTAGAATGACATGGAGAGCATTTAAATCTGGAGAAGGAAGGAAGGAAGGCAGGGTAGGGATCATCCTCGAAAAGGTTGGAAGGAAGGGGTAAGGGAGGTTTTGCGGGCAAGGGGCTTGGACTTCCAGCAAGCATGCGTGAGTGTGTTAGATAGGAGTGAATGGAGACTAATGATATTTGAGACCTGACGAGCTGTTGGAGAGTGAGCAGGGTAATATTTAGTGAAGGGATTCAGGGAAACCGGTTATTTTTATATAGCTGGACACGAGTTCTGGAAATGGGAAGTACAATGCCTGCACTTTAAAGGAGGGGTTTGGGATATTTGCAGTTTGGAGGGATATGTTGTTTATCTTTATACATACTACATGCTTCTAAACTGTTGTGTTCTGGGCACCTCTGCAAAGACAGTGATTATGTACGAGTGAAATGAAAGTGTTGAATGATGATGAAAGTATTTTCTTTTTGGGGATTTTCTTTCTTTTTGGGTCACCCTGCCTTGGTGGGAGACGGCCGACTTGTTGGGGGGGGGGGGGGGGGGTAGCTTTTCTTATCCCATTTTTAATGTCCCTCTTTATGTCAATATACTGATTCATAAGATGACCCTCACCTCTTTTGATATGCCTATAAATTCCTTTCTTCTGCCCTAAGAGATATTTGAGCCTATTATTCATCCATTTTGGGTCATTTTATTCAATCTAATTTCTTTATATGGGATAAATGTTCTTTGAGCAGTATGTACAGTGTTTAGAAAACTGTCATACTGATAGCTCTCTTCATTACCCCAGTCAACAGATAAGTGTTCTCTAAGCCCGTTGTAATCTAAGCGAAAATCTGGGATAATTACTGAATTATCCCTACTGTCATATACAGTGGACCCCCGGTTAACGATATTTTTTCACTCCATAAGTATGTTCAGGTGCCAGTACTGACCAAATTTATTCCCATAAGGAATATTGTGAAGTAGATTAGTGCATTTCAGACCCCCAAACATACACGTACAAACGCACTTACATAAATACACTTACGTAATTGGTCGCATTCGGAGGTAATCGTTATGTGGGGGTCCACTGTACTTCCATTCTCGAGCTAAGCAATCCTAAGCTCCTCTAAGTTGCTGGTAGAGTTGCTCAAGAGAGGACATCTTGGTTCAGATTCACAGAGAGCACACAGACAAGTCTTCACTGAGCTAAGTATAGGTCCTCTTGAAGAGGATCTCTCTTCAAGAGAGAACCCACAATAATGAATTAAAATTAGACAAGTGCAGATTTAGAATGGATATTGGAAAGTATTGGTTTGGTAATAGGATAGTTGATGAGTGGCACAGTTTGCCTAGTAGGGTTATTGAAGCTAAACCCTTGGGGAGTTTCAAATTTTGGATGGATAAATACTGGAGTGAGAGGGGTTGGATTTGAGCGGGACTTGCACACGAGTAAATAGAAATATCAAAACTTATTGCTTGGGTAGCATTTTTTTCTGTTAGTGGGTTGGATTTATGAAGGACTAGCCTAGTATGGGCCAACAGGCCTAATGCAGTGTTTCTCATTTCTTATGTACCACTACTACTTTTCCTTCATCTCTGTCCTCTTCCTTTCCCCTTGCCTATATATATTGGCTCCCTCACTCTTTTGTTTTAGTGTGACTTTCTGAATGGTCCAAGTCAGAATGAATCATCATCGTAAGCTTCTCTCTCCTACTTGCGGGTTGTGTGTCCTATTCCAGTCACAGTATTGTGCCTTTTTGTTCTTTACTTATCTCTAACCCTATTGGACCTGCCAATCCTGTGCCAGATTACTCTACCCCTTCCCAAATTTTTACTTGCCCTCATACGCGTCCTCGTTCCCTATCCCAACAACCAACCCCCCTCCTCTTCCCAAACACCTCCTTCCCTTCAAAGTACTGTTGCCTATCCCTGCCCTGCCCTTGATAACTGAACCTAAAAGCTTGGGTAGCTTTAAATATAAGTTGGGTAAATATGAGTGAGAAAGCTTGGATATGAGCTGGACCTGCTTAGCATGGACCAGTAGACTTCCTGCAGTGCTCCTCTAGTTTTAAGTAACAATGTTGAGTGTGAGTAGGAAAATCTATAAATCTTGCTTGTCTAGAAAGGCCTTGGTGTACAGTATCATGAGTGCCGATATCACATAAAATACTAAATGAATTTGAAGTGCTCCATATTAGACAGCTAGGTACTACACAGTACTTACAATTTTTTCATAGTATTCTCGTCTTCGTTCAGCACGACGCTTGTAGTCAACTAGCATTCCACGTATCTTACGTTCTTGCTTTCTTGCTTCATGCCACATACTGTCTGGCATTTACCTGAAGGAAAAATTATTGCAATAATAGATAGCAATAACTCTTTTTAATGCTCCAGCTCTCCCCCAATGAGGTAGGGCATTGGATTACCAAAAGTATTATTCAGAGGACAGGATGGAGAAAAACCAGGATGACTAGGGGGGAGTATATTAAATTTGGGGTGGAAAGGTGGGTAGGGATTATGCTAGGAAAGGCTGGAGAAGATAAGTAGGGATTGTGCTAGGAAAGGTTGGAAGGAAGGGGAAAGGTTTTGAGTGCTAGGGTCTTGGAGTGAGTTGAAGTGCTTTAATTTTAAGGTGCTGTTGAATGTGAGAAAGGCAACGTTTATACAGAAATTCAGGGAAACCAGGTAGCCAAACTTTATTCTTGGAGGTGAGAAGAACCGTGCCTGCACTCTGAAGGTGTGGGGAGGTTGCAATTTGGACAGTCATCTGAACTGTAGTATCAATGTGATTCTGACAAGCAATAACTGACAAATATATATAAAAAGCACCATTCCCAATTTGAGAACGATTTAAATAGAATTGATTAGTGGACACCAGCACATGTGAATACTTGCATGAACCTTTGCCTTGTTACATTTCACTTTTGAAAATTTGTAGCCATTTGGATGAGACACTAAGGTTGAAAACCTTAGAGGAAGAGGGAAAAAATTGGGCAACCTACTTAAAGGTACTCTTTCAGAGATACTGAACAACATGAAGGGGAGGAAAATATGTGCTGTAAACTGCCATCTACAAGGACAAAGGATGAGCAGGTTATGACATTGTGCTCGTGAAGACCGTGGCTCAGTTGGTAGTGAACTTGGTTTGTATACCAAAGATCCATGACTCAGTCCCTGGCACAGGTAGAAATGTTGGGCACGTTTCCTTACACTGGCTGTCCCTGTTCACCTAGCAATAAGCAAGTGCCTGGGTGTCAGTCAACTGTTGTGGGTCACATCCTAGTTGGTGTTAGTATACAATAAAACCTCTACATTTTGGAAAAAAAAAAAAAAAAAAAAAAAAAAAACGTACAGACATTACTTACATGTTGGATTCGGACAAAATGGAAAGTCTAAAATTCCAGATTTTGTCCATAGCAATGTCTGGGTGTCTTCTGAAGTATCAGACCAAGTTCGATGAGTCCAGCACTTGTCTGGTATGGGCCAGAGCAGCCACAACCATGAATTGCCTATTTTTATTGTTCCCCAAGCCACAGACTGCCCATATCAGTTTTTTATTTGCACCCACCCATACATACACTTGTCATTCAGGCTCAAAATTTCCTATGGTTTTAGTGTGTTTTGTGTGATTTTCCTAACATATTAAGTAAAGTGCAATTAACAATGGCCTCTAAAGAAAGTAGCAATGCCAAGAAGAAATGTGTGGTTCTCCGTGTTAAGAAGAAACGAACTAATAAAGAAGGCCGAGTCTGGCATCTCAGTGGCACCACATCTCGGCTATCTACATTATTTTCACTGGTTGAGCTTTGAAGCTCCTCTGATTCATCACAAAAGTTATTAAGTCCCTTATCAATCACACTAATTTACATCTCTCCACCATGGAAAGTTAGGTAAAATTACTGAAAATTTTATACATACTATACAATTACTACATAGTACTATACTGTAATGCTACAGGTTACAATACTAATAATGTTAAGTGTCTGGTTATCTTCTGGATCCGTGGACTACATTCACTAGTTCAGAAAACAACTGGACGATTGTGAAAAATTAATTTCATAATTCATAAGTTTTGGACAATTAGCAATACTGTTCACTCCCACTAACCCTTATTAATCTGTTAATGAGATTGTTCTCTGTACTGCTGATAGGGATGGGTTTTGAAACGAGCCAAGGGAGGATAACAGCTCTTAGCCTATAAGAATGAAGTGTAAAAAACATGTAACATTGTACAAAAATTAATTCCTGGTTATGTGCATTTTTCATTTTGTTTCAGAAAACTTACACACACACACACACACACACACAACACACACAACACACACAACACACACAACACACACAACACACACAACACACACAACACACACAACACACACAACACACACAACACACACAACACACACAACACACACACACACACACACACACAGTAGTACCAGAAACTGATTTTGTTTCAAATTGTTATACAAAATATACAATAATTCAGAAACTCCTTTAGCATGCACAGCATTTCAGGATGTCATTCTTGGTTAACTCTTCATAATGTATATATATATATATATATATATATATATATATATATATATATTATATAAAATATATATATATATATATATATACCCGGTGGCCTGGTGGCTTAAGCTCCCACTTCACACACGGAGGGCCCGGGTTCGATTCCCGGCAGGTGGAAACATTGACACGTTTCCTTACACCTGTTGTCCTGTTCACCTAGCAGTAAATAGGTACCTGGGTGTTAGTCGACTGGTGTGGGTCGCATCCTGGGAGACAAGATTAAGGACCCCAATGGAAATAAGACAGACAGTCTTCGATGACGCACTGACTTTCTTGGGTTATCCTGGGTGGCTAACCCTCCGGGGTTAAAAATCCGAACGAAATCTTATATCGCCATTATTATTTAGATTTTTCAACTCAATGGCCATTTCCTTCCAAGGTAGGGATACTTAAAAAAAAAAAAACATTCATTCATTAACATTCACAATCAGATTACACATCCAAATGCAACATCCCCATCCCTCCTCCAGAATGCAGGCACTGTCCTCCCTTCCCATCATCATCATAAAAACAAGTGGTAAACCCGTGTGGGTCATACAGTGTTACTGTATGCTGGTACAGATTTTGTTCACATTACTAACCCAGAATAATCCATAGTGTATGTCATCAAGGACTGTCAGTCTTATTTCTACTGGGGTCCTTTAATCTTTCCCAGAATGCAACCCACAAGTCAACAAACACCCAGGTACCCAAGTTTATTCAGGTACAAGTACAAATAAAAACAGTTACATAAATTATCATATATAGCAGCATGTGTGGACTACCTTGGATTAACCCCAAAAATCAAAGCGACGTATTTCATTGGGGTACTTGCTGCTAGGTGAATTTTTTAATTTGAATTTGCTTTGAAGCCCCTGAGTTATTACAGTTTGTGCATATGCTGGGCTGTCACAGTCTAATTCAGCTAAGAATAGAAAATATAACCAAAATCACCAATTGTGGGTGGGTGTGAGAGACTTGCCTAGTAAATAAATGAGTAAGTTTATTCAGGCACAGGTACACGTAAGTGCAATTATATTCTTTTTTTATTGTATTATTAACACACTGTCCAATTCCCACCAAGGCAGGGTGGCCCGAAAAAGAAACTTTCACCATCATTCACTCCATCACTGTCTTGCCAGAAGGGTGTTTTACACTTCAGTTTTTAAAGTGCAACATTAACACCCCTCCTTCAGAGTGCAGGCACTGTACTTCCCATCTCCAGGACTGCCGGTTTCCCTGAATCCCTTCATAAATGTTACTTTACTCACACTCCAACGTCACGTCAAGTATTAAAAACAAATTGTCTCCATTCACTCCTATCAAACACGCTCACACATGCCCGCTGGAAGTCCAAGCCCCTCACACACAAAACCTCCTTTACCCCCTCCCTCCAACCTTTCCTAGGCCAACCCCTACCATGCCTTCCTTCCACTACAGACTGATACACTCTTGAAGTCATTTTGTTTCGCTCCATTCTCTCTACATGTCCGAACCACCTCAACAACCCTTCCTCAGCCCTCTGGACAACAGTTTTGGCAATCCCGCACCTCCTCCTAACTTCCAAACTATGAATTCTCTGCATTATATTCACACCACACATTGCCCTCAGACATGACATCTCCACTGCCTCTAGCCTTCTCCTCGCTGCAACATTCATCACCCATGCTTCACACCCATATAAGAGCGTTGGTAAAACTATACTCTCATACATTCCCCTCTTTGCCTCCAAGGACAAAGTTCTTTGTCTCCACAGACTCCTAAGTGCACCACTCACCCTTTTCCCCTCATCAATTCTATGATTCACTTCATCTTTCATAGACCCATCCGCTGACACGTCCACTCCCAAATATCAAACATTCACCTCCTCCATACTCTCTCCCTCCAATCTGATATCCAATCTTTCATCACCTAATCTTTCTGTTATCCTCATAACCTTACTCTTTCCTGTATTCACTTTCAATTTTCTTCTTTTACATACCCTACCAAATTCATCCACCAACCTTCGCAATTTATCTTCAGAATCTCCCAAGAGCACAGTGTCATCAGCAAAGAGCAGCTGTGACAACTCCCACTTTGTGTGTGATTCTTTATCTTTTAACTCCACACCTCTTGCCAAGACCCTCACATTTACTTCTCTTACAATCCCATCTATAAATATATTGAACAACCACGGTGACATCACACATCCTTGTCTAAGGCCTACTTTTACTGGGAAATAATCTCCCTCTTTCCTACATACCCTAACTCGAGCCTCACTATCCTCGTAAAAACTCTTCACTGCTTTCAGTAACCTACCTCCTATACCATACATCTGCAACATCTGCCACATTGCCCCCCTATCCAACCTGTCATACGCCTTTTCCAAATCCATAAATGCCACAAAAACCACTTCACCCTTATCTAAATACTGTTCACTTGTATGTTTCACTGTAAACACCTGGTCCACACACCCCCTACCTTTCCTAAAGCCTCCTTGTTCATCTGCTATCCTATTCTCCGTCTTACTCTTAATTCTTTCAATAATAACTACCACACACTTTACCAGGTATACTCAACAGACTTATCCCCCTATAATTTTTGCACTCTCTTTTGTTCCCTTCGCCTTTATACAAAGGAACTATGCATGCTCTCTGCCAATCCCTAGGTACCTTACCCTCTTCCATACATTTATTAAATAATTGCACCAACCTCTCCAAAACTATATCCCCACCTGCTTTTAACATTTCTATCTTTATCCCATAAATCCCAGCTGCCTTACCCCCTCTCATTTTACCTACTGCCT